CCAAGCTGTTTTACAAATAAGGTTGCTGCACTATCTTACAACCCCACTAGCATTGTAGGAAGATTTCACTATCTACATCCTCACCTCAACTTCTGTCCACTTTAAAAAAATTATACCCATCCTAGTAGGTTTGAAATATCTCATTGTGTTTCTGTTTATTTGAAAAATTCGTCTGTTTAAAAGTGACCATAGTATAAAATCATTAAAAATGAACAGTTCAGTGGCATTTAGTACATCCACAGTATTGTACAACTACCACATCTGTCTAGTTTCAAAACATTGTATCACCCCAAAAGGAAACTCCAAACCCCAGTCACTCCTCACTCCGTCCTTCTCCTGCCCCTTACAACCACCAGTCTGCATTCTGTCTCTGTGGATTTAACTTCTATGAATGTTTCACATGAATATAATCGTACAATATGTCATCTTTTGTATCTGACTACTTTCACCTAGAATAATAGTTTTTGAGGTTCATCCATGTTTCTGCATGTATCAGTACTTCATTCCTTTTTATGGCTGAGTAATATAGTGTGTGTGTATACCACAGTTTGTTTATCTGTTGATGGATATTTGCATTATTTCTTCCTTTTGGCTTTTGTGATTAATGCACATATCTTTTCACTATGGTTTTGTCTGGATATATGCCCAGGAGTGGGATTGCTGTATCATACGGTAGTTCTATTTGTAGATTTTTAAGGAACTTCAAATTGCCAACATCCGCTGGATCATCAAAAAAGCAAGAGATTTCCAGAAAAACATCTGTTTCTGCTTTATTGCCTATGCCAAAGCCTTTGACTGTGTGGATCACAATAAACTGTGGAAAATTCTTCAAGAGATAGGAATACCAGAACACCTGACCTGCCTCTTGAGAAATCTGTATGCAGGTCAGGAAGCAACAGTTAGAACTGGACATGGAACAACTGACTGGTTCCAAATAGGAAAAAGAGTATGTCAAGGCTGTATATTGTCACCCTGCTTATTTAACTTATATGCAGAGTACATCATGAGAAATGCTGGGCTGGAGGAAGCAAAAGCTGGAATCAAGATTGCCGGGAGAAATATCAATAACCTCAGATATGCAGATGACACCACCCTTATGGCAGAAAGTGAAGAAGAACTAAAGGTCCTCTTGATGAAAGTGAAAGAGGAGAGTGAAAAAGTTGGCTTAAAACTCAACATTCAGAAAACCAAGATCATGGTATCCGGTCCCATCACTTCATGGCAAATAGATGGGGAAACAGTGGAAACAGTGGATGACTTTATTTTTCCGGGCTCCAAAATCACTGCAGATGGTGACTGCAGCCATGAAATTAAAAGACACTTACTAATCCTTGGAAGAAAAGCTATGATCAACCTAGACAGCATATGAAAAAGCAGATATATTACTTTGCTGACAAAGGTCTGTCTAGTCAAGACTATGGTTTTTCCAGTAGTCAGATATGGATGTGAGCAATGGACTGTAAAGAAAGCTGAGCACCAAAGAATTGATACTTCTGAACTGTGGTGTTGGAGAAGACTCTTGAGAGTCCCTTGGACTGCAAGGAGATCCAACCAGTCCATCCTGGGGGAAATCAGTCCTGAATATTCATTGGAAGGACGGATGCTGAAGCTGAAACTCTAGTACTTTGGCCACCTAATGCGAAGAGCTGACTCATCTGAAAAGACCCTGATGCTGGGAAAGACTGAAGGCAGGAGGAGAAGGGAACAGAGGACGAGATGGTTGGATGGCATCACCGACTCTGTGGACATGAGTTAGAGTAAACTCCAGGAGTTGGTGATGGACAGGGAGGCCTAGTGTGCTGCAGTCCATGGGGTCACAAAGAGTTAGTCAGACACGACTGAGCAACTGAACTGAACTGCTATTCCTCACAATGGCTAAAGCAACTTACATTCCTACCAGTGGTGTAGGAGGGTCCCCTTTCCTCCACACATTTATTGGTTAGACTGTTGATGATGGTCGTTCTGACTGGTATGAGATGATAATCTCCTATTTTGATTTGCATTTCTCTAATAATTAGCCACGTTGAGCATTTTTTCCTGTGCCTTTTAGCCATCTGAATGTGTTCTTTGAAGAAATGTCTGTTTAGGTTTTCTGCTCATTTTTTTTATTAGATTGCTCTTTTGATATTGAGCAACATGAGCTATTTGTAAATTTTGAGGACTAATCTCTTGTTAGTTGCATTGTTTGCAAATATTTTCTCCCATTCTCTAAGTTCTTTTCTTTCTGTTTATGGTTTCCTTTGCTATGCAAAAGTTTTTGAGTTTAATTAGGTCCCATTTGTATATTTTTGTTTTTTAAATTTATTTTAATTGGAGGATAATTACTTTAGTTTCAATTACTTCCCTCATGGCTCAGACAGTAAAGTGTCTGCCTACAATGCGCCAGACCCAGATTCAAACCCTGGGTCGGGAAGATCCCCTGGAGAAGGAAATGGCAACCCACTCCAGTATTCTTGCCGGGAAAATCCCATGGGCAGAGGAGCCTGGTAGGCTACAGTCCATGGAGTCGAAAAGAGTTGGACACGACTGAGCAACTTCACTTTCACTTTTCACTTTCATTCTAGAAGATGGATTGAAAAAGATATTGCTGCTATTTATGTCAGATAGTATTCTGCCTTTGTTTTTCTCTGAGTTTTACAGTATCTGATCTTATATTTAGGTCTTTAACTCACTTCAAGTTAATTTTTGTGTATGGTGTTAGGTTATTGATTTGAGATATTTTTCCTTTTTAAAATATGTTTATACAGCTAAAGATATCCCTCTAAGCACCAATTTAACTGCATACCATACATTTTGTTTATCAAGTTTTCATTTTCATTTATCTCAAGATATTCTTTAATTTCCTTTGTAATTTTCTCATTCACCAGTTGGTTATTTAAAAATACGTTGTTGAATTTCCCATATGTGTGAATTTCCAAATTTCCTTCTTTTATTGATTTAATTTTATTTCATCATGGTTGAAAAGCATACTTTGTGTAATTTCAGTCCTTTCAAATATATTGAGCTTTTTTATAGTTGTACCATGTTGGTATGTTGTAGAGAATGCATCATACACACTTGGGGAAAATGTGTATTCTGTTGTGTGGAGGAGTTATAAAGATGTGTTAGGTTCAGTTGCTTCATAGTGTTGAAGTCATCAATTGTTTTTTCATTGATCTTCTAACTGTTCTATTTATTATTGAGGTCTTTGTTACTATTGAATTGTTATTTCTCCTTTCAGTTCTGTCAATTTTTGCTTTATTGTTTTTGCCTCACTGGGGCTCTGTTAGATGTGTATTAATTTACGAATGTTATCTTCTTAATGGATTGGTCCCTTTTTAAATATACAATGTCCTTTACCTCACAGATTTTTGTTTTAACATCTACTTTGTCTAATGTTGGTGTAGACACACCATTTCTTTTCAGGTAACTATTTACACTATATATCTTTTTCCATCCTTTTATTTCCAGCCCATTTGTGTCTTTGGATCTAAAGTGTGTCTCTTATGAACAGCACATAGTTGGTTTTTTTAAAAAATTCATTCTGCCTCGCTCTGTTGGAGTGTTTAATCCATTTGTATTTTAACATAATTACCCATAAGGTAGGATTTACATCTGCCACTATACTATTTTTTTAATGTTTTATATACTTTATTGTTCCTCTGTTTCTCCATTACTGCCGTCCTTTGTATTAAATAGATATTTTTGTGAACTGTTTTAATTCCCTTAATCTTTCTTTTACTGTATATTTTTTATTTATAGATAACAGAGTTACAAGCAAAAATAGCTGTATATTGTACCTGTATGTTGCTACATTTGCTGGTACCCTTTATTTCTTTGTGTAGATTCCAGTTATCATGTAATGCCCTTTTATTTCATCTTGAAGACCGCACCTTAATATTTTTTGCAGGGTGATTTTTATAGCCTCACAATCCAGACCCCATGAAAGAATGGATGCTGGTAATATTACCCCACATGATTTAAATTGAGATAGAATTGAAATCTTAGCAATATTGAATCTTCTCATACAGGAACACAATATATCTCTCCATTTTATTTAGATTTTTGATTTATCTTGTCAGTATTCTGTAATTTTCAGCATGTCAAATATTGGATTTTTTTATTAGATTTTTACCTAAAAATTTCGTGGATTTTGATAATGTTATAAATGGAACTTTTAAGAAATAGGAAATTTCCAGTTTCTTTTCTTAATATATAGAAATGCAATTGATTTGACCTTGTGACCTTCAGCCTTACTAAAACTCTTACTCAGGTACCTTTTTTGTAGATTTTTTGGAATATAGAAACTCGTGTCTATTGTAAGTAGAGACAGTTTTATTTCTCCCAGTCTCCATGTCTTTTGTTACTTTTTCTTACCTAATTGCACCAACTAAGCCCTCCTGTTTGATGTTGAATAGAAATGGCAAGAGCAAATGTCCTTGCCTTTTTCCCAGTCTTAGGGGAAAACATTCAGTCTTCCACCAATATTGGTATTAGTTGTAGGTTTTTTATAGATATACTATATCAGGTAGAGATGATTCCCTTTTGTTTCTGGGTTACTAGGTTTTTATCATAAATTAATAAGAATTTTGTGAAATGCTTTTCCTTTATCTGTTAAGATGGCTATATGAATTTTCTTCTACAGTCTATTGGTGTGAATTATACTAATTAATTTTGAATGTTGAACATGCTTTGTATTACCAGGATAAACTTCACTAGTCCTGATTTGTTATCCTTTTATGTATTGCTGGGTTCATTTTGCTAATATTTTTTGGAGGATTTATTTTTACATCTGTATTTATATGCTTGAGTTAATATTTAAATAAGTACCAAGCACCAGAAGGACTTCTGGTAAATGCATGCTATGCAGTTTGTTATAACCCACCTGCTAAAGACAACTAGAAAAGCAGGGGAACGTGTTCATAAGATACCATTTATTTTATGGTTAAAAATGTCATTTTAAAGACAAGATAGTATTTTTGGATCTGCATAGATTTCTTTTCTCCCTCTGTTTTTCAAAGGTAGACATAAATGCATTAACCCGCAACGTGCAGACTCTAGAGGAAAAGAATAAGCAGCTGACAGATAAGATTGCTTCCCTAGAACTTGAGCAAGCATCTTCTGATTACCACTGGGTGGGTATAAAAAGGTCAGTCTAAAGTAGGAGTTAATGACTAAAGAGTTCTTTACAAATCAGGATAATTAGGGGATGGGTTTCTTCATTTGTTTGTGTTTTGATGATTATCACATGTCCTGAATAACTTAGCAGGCCAAGTATGTCAGAGAGCCCTGCAGTATTCAGGCGATAGATTTAGGAGAACGAGGACTGAAAGCAGCTGTTAAACACCTGCCTACACAGATGATCTGTAGTGGTGAAAAGTACCAGTGTTTCTAACATTTTAAAATAATTTCTTTTCCATAAATTGTGAGAAAGAAACTTGTATTTTTTTTACCCCGACAGTTCTATCTGTTGGGAAATCAGTAGTAAGTTAGATTTCTTGAAGCTGTTTGACAAGGTCATTACATTGCAAATAAATGAAAAAGAAAGTGAAAGTGAAGTCGCTTGGTTGTGTTTGACTCTTTGTGACCCCATGAACTGTAGCCCCCCAGGTTCCTCCGTCCTTTGGACTCTCCAGGGGATTTTCCCCACCCAGGGATTGAACCCGGTCTCCCGCATTGCAGGCAGACCCTTTAGCATCTGAGCTACCAGGGAAGTCGTTACAAATAAACATAGGTCTTACAACACCTCCAGGTGAAGGAGACTTAAAGAGATTGTTCTGTTCAACAGCTAGTACGTTTTCTGTGTGCTTTTGAATACTTAAGAATTATCTATTTCTTCTATAGTATGTAATTCAGCTTTCAGAATTCCAAAGAAGGTGTGAAGTCTGTCTTAATCTGAGCTAAATTCTTCCAAGCTCTGTCATAAACTGCTCATTACTGCAAACTAGGAAAATTACAGAAACTAAATCTAATTCCTGTTAGTTTTCATGCCTCTGGAGCCAGACTATTTGTGTTTCAATTTTGGCTGTGACCTTGGGTGTGATCCTTAACCTTTCTGAACCTGAGTTTCTTAATCTGTCAAAATGGGGATAATACTATTATTAGGAGGTTGTTGAGATTAAGTAAGTTAATACATGTAAAGCATGTAGCACATTTTTAACTTTTATTGAATTCTTAGTATCTCAACTATCCCTGGAAAAAGCCTGTTAAGCTCCTTTCAGAGGAACGGGGTGCATTAGCTCTAAATCCTGGTACTATCTCAGGCCAGCCCTCTCTCCCTCAAAATTAAAGATTTGTCCTTGTCCTTTGCTTTTGGGCAGACCTCAGCTGGGCGTATCTACCCACCAGGTTTGTCTCTCAGTGTGCATGGCTTTTATGCCTGGACTGCCAGGGAGCAGACCTGTGGTCTTATCCTGTTAGTAACTTTGACAGATTTTACAGGTCACTTGGTCAGTGTTGATACTTGCCTGCTCACCACACCTCTTGATTAAGGTCTCGCAGTAATTACCCATACCTCAATTCCAGCTTACATGTCTCTGCATAATCGCTAATCAGGCCTGCCTGGAAGTGTTGCAGTTGGCTGTAATGAGTCTTGAGGAAAGAGGTCGATATTTTACGACTTTTTTTTTTTTTAATCTGAGCTATATCATTAAACCTATTGCCATTCATTGCTGGCAGTATGTTTTTGTTCTTTAAAAATTAACACTTAATCCTCAATAAAAACTACCCTCTAGCATTACCTCTTATTTTTAGAGATGTGCGTATGAGGGTGTGTCTTATATGCCACACCATAGATTTAAATTCAGATCCCGTTTTAACCCATGGCTTCATTTACTGTGTGACCTGGACAGGTTCTTAGCCTCTGTGGCCCTCAGTGCCAAGGGGACCTTCGCTGTGGAACTCCCCTGAGGGTTCCCAGAGCCTGCTGTGCGTGCTTATTAAAACAGTTACTGTAACTTCGTAAGTTAGAAACTGACCTGTTTCATGCCTCTGCTTTCCTCCTGTTACGGTGTAAGAATAGTGACTTGTCACTGTGCTCCCCTGCCTAGCACAGTGCCCATAGGTAACAGGTGTTTAAGAAACCTTGGCTGGGTAGAACACAAAGAGCGTCATGTGTGTCTTGCCAGACTGAGACTCAAGTGTGATATTGTGAGTCAAGCGCCAGTCACAGGGCCAGCATACCGCATCCCTGTGTAAACACCATGCTCGTTTCCTTCTCACACTTCCTTATGTTAGGTTTGTGTTTGCCATTTCAGCCTTTAGTGACTAATGTTTAAAAATTTTTATTGAAGTATAGTTGATTTATAATGTTAATTTCTGCCACACAGTAAAGTGAGTCATGTATTCTTTTTCCTGTTCTTTTCCAAACTACAGTTTATGACAGAATGCTCCCGTGCTGTACAGTAGGACCTGGTTGTTTGTCTGTCCTGTATATAACAGTGTGTATCAGCTAACCCCAAACTCCCCTCCATCCCTCAAACTCTCCCTCCGCCCCTTTGACAGCCACAAGTGAGTTCCTATGAAGTCCATTACCACAGGCCATCATGAAGGGAGAAAAGATCCAAATGTGGGAAGTTTACTGTTCTGGGTTCAAATTAAATGACTAGTCTCCTCACTTTTTGTTGGTATTTTAAACATACATTTTCAAGTGGTAGCTCCAGAAAGAAGCAGAATTATTTCCATATACAACTAGGATTTTAATGACTTGAAATTAAACAATGTATTAAATATATTCGTTCTTAAAACTCGGATGACATTTAGTGAGTGTACACTTGTGAGGGTGACAGGATCGGTTCCATCTGCATGGGCCCATGTCATACTGGTTGTTAATAGGATAAAATTCTTACTTACCCATCTGCTTGTAAAGTAGCTTTGTTGTTGTTGTTCAGTCTAAGTCATGTCTGTTTGTGACCCCATGAACTGCAGCACGCCAGGCTTCCCTGTCCTTCACTGTCTCCCAAGAGTTTGCTCAACCGCTTATCCACTGAGTTGGTGATGCCATCCAATCCCAACCTCTGCCACCCCCTTCCCCTCCTGCCCTCAGTCTTTCTCAGCATCAGGGTCTTTTCCAATGAGTTGGCTCTTCACATCAGGTGGCCAAAGTATTGGAGCTTTGGCTTCAGGATCAGTCCTTCCAATGAATATTCAGGGTTGATTTCCTTTAGAATTGACTGGTTTGATCTCCTTGCTGTCCAAGGGACTCTCCAACACCACAGTTCAGAAGCATTGCTTCTTTGGCATTCAGCCTTTTTTTATTGTCCAGCTCTCACATCCATACATGACTATTGGAAAAACCATAGCTTTAACTATACAGACCTTTGTCGGCCAAGTGATTTCTCTTCTTTTTAATATGCTGTCTAGGTTGTTCATAGCTTTTCTTCCAAGGAGCAAGTGTCTTTTATTTTCATGGCTGCAGTCACCATCTGCAGTGATTTTGGAGCTCAAGAAAATAAAGTCTATCACTGTTTTCATTGTTTCCCCATCTATTTGCCATGAAGTGAGGGGACCAGATGCCATGATCTTGGTTTTCTGAATATTGAGTTAAGCCAACTTGTTCACTCTCCTCTTTCACTTTCATCAAGTGGCTCTTTAGTTTCTCTTTGCTTTCTGCCCTATGGGTGGTGTTATCTGCATATCTGAAGTTATTGATATTTCTCCTGGCAATCTTGATGCCAGCTTGTGCTTCATCCAGCCTTGCATGTAGCATGATGTACTGTGCATATAAGTTAAATAAACAGGGTGACAATGTGCAACCTTGACGTACTCCTTTCTCAATTTTGAACCAGTCCGTTGTTCATGTCCAGTTCTAACTGTTGCTTCTTGACCTGCATGTAGGTTTCTTAGGAGGCAGGTGAGGTGGTCTGCTATTCTCATCTCTTTAAGAATTCTCCAGTTTTTTGTGATCCACACAATTAAAGGCTTTAGCATAATCAATGAAGTAGAAATAGATGTTTTTCTGGAATTCTCTTGCTTTTTCTGTGATCTAATGAATGTTAGCAATTCATTCTGGTTCCTTGTATATTGCTAAGATTATTTAAACAAAGGATAGTTTGAGTTCATCATTCCACAACTCAGAATCTGAGATATTCACTCATTTAAATGGTCTCTTTCTAATTTCTGGTGTTCCATCAATTTTCTTAAGTCTAGGGCCTGTTTAAATGATAATTTAAATTACTGCCTTAACATCTACCTTATGTTAGCAAAAAAAGGAGGACATTATTTCTAAAGTTTATTTAAAAGATTAATAGAATTATTTATGCCTTTGCCTAAAAACGGAAATTTTATTGGAGAAATTTTACCATTATTTTAAAAATTTGTGTAAGAGACCCAGACTGTCCAAGTTCTTTAAAAAAATAAAAGTCTTCAACATACCAGGAACACAGAGTGTTTTTGAGTGTTCTTATGTGTAATAGCACATTTTTGGTTAAATCTAGCTCTTGATTTTTTATAAGCTTTATCTACACTTTGCAATGCTTGATTTATAGGACTTGGAGCTGAATTTTAAATTTTAAATAGTTAAGCTTTTATTTCAATAGTTATATGGTGTAGCTTTGTTTTTGTAGTGTTATTGGCCATCCTTATGATATATTTTCTGCTGAAGACTTGATCAAAACATAGCCCCAAATGTTCATTTGTGGAATGATTTTACGTTTTTTAGATCATAGTTTCTAAAATGTTGTGTTAAAGGAGGATGGTATGTCTTACATAAATGAAAAAAATTAATGTTATGATAATATATCATTACTAGCCTCCTGTTTATTGCTAGCAATCTACATTTCTGTTAGGCTACTTTGTAACTGATACTTAATTGGTCTTAATGCTTTTTAAAAAACTGCCTTGGTGGGAGCAGCACACAGTGATTAAAAGTGAAACTTTAAAAAACTGAAAGTATGAATATGTATAAATAAGTATGAAATAAATATTGATCTGATGTGACAAATGCCTGGATGGCCATACTAGTCAGTAACCCACTGATCCCTAATATTGGGTATACATTTTTATATTGAATGTACATAATTTTATAGTAGAACTAGTCATTATAATTTTTTCATCTTTTTTTTTTAAGCCTAGAGTGTCTGAAATGGCTTAATTCTTCTAGTTGAGGCAACTACCAAGAAGAAGACAGTGCTTCAGACTAATGTGATCTCTTATATGCTATCATGAAAATATTTGAACAGAGGAAAAAATGAGCTACATGTTATATAGTAATCTAGTTTGGAATGTGTTTTTACTTTTATTTGAAAAATATTCACAATATATAAGATGAAATAGAGTGCACCACAGATTGGCTATGTTGAAGACCGTGAGGAACGTCTCTTGTATAAATTAATATTCCAACATATATGTTTTTATCTTTAAAACTTGCTTAAAGTTGAATGTAAATTCTCTGGCTTTAAATGCTAAAAAGGAGCCTTGTTCTGTTATTCACAGATTAAGCAAATATAAGCCAGAAATAATGATTTTGTCAGTATAGGATATTTACCAACATTAACAAGACTTTGAACTGAAAATTAACTGCCAATGACCCATAGTGCAGCTAGTTAGCCTATGTGATTAAGAATGTGTGTGTTATCCCTACCATGAACTTATGAAGATGATTTTCACTTAATGGCAAATATCAGTGTTTTCTGTTATTAGGATACAACAGTGAAACTGATTGTGGAAGGTAAAAATTTCCATCTTCAGTCACTAGTAGTGTTCCTCAAGTATACCAATAAGGTCCAAAATTTAATCAAGAGAATCTATTTTATACTTATTTCCTCTGACAAGGTGAGGAAAAAGGAAAAAAATAACTGTCATCATTAAAGCTGTTTTTAATGATTAAATATGTAATTTCGTGAAATATAGAGGCTTCAGTAATGTTAGTCCTAGGTAACATTGTGTTGAGTACTTTGTCAAATAATGTTTCCAACAAGCATTTATTTTGCTTTTTCAGTTTTTTTTTCCCTCACTGCCTTTTAACTATGGTAACTGAAGTGTCTTCTGTTGTCCAAGTGGTTGTCACCATTTTCTTAAGGAGCTACAGTTATCCCTCAGTATCCATGGAGGATTAGTTCCAGGACCCCCACAGATACTAAAATCTGTGGATACTGGAGTCTCTTATATAAAATGGTATATTTGCGTATATTCTAGACACATCCTTCCATATACTTTAAATCATCTCTAGATTGCATATAATACCTAGCATGATGTAATGCTATTGTAAGGAGTTGTCAGTTGCCCATATGTGGCAAATTCAAGTTTTGCTTTTTGGAACTAACTGGAAATTATTTTTTTCCTGAATATTTTCCATCCGCAGTTGGTTGAACTAGTGGATATGGAACCCTATGGATACAGAGGGCTGCCTGCATGTAATCCTCAAACTGCCTATCTGTAACCACTAATAAAACCATCCACATCTGGCTTAGATTGCAACTACAAAGGGATAATTTATGTAACAAAAATAGGGTTAGGAAACAAAAACAAACTCTGTGACTCTTAAGGCGCTCACACTTCCATTAGAAGTTCCCCTGTGTGTTGCAGGGCTTCCTGGGTGGCTCAGACAGTAAAGAGTCTGCCTGCAATGTGGGAGAGAGACCTGGGTTTGATCCCTGGGTCAGGAAGATCCATCCCCTGGAGAAGGCCATGGCAACCCATTCCAGTATTCTTGTCTGGAGAATTCCACAGACAGAGGAACCTGGTGGACTACAGCCCATGGGGCTGCAAAGAGTTGAACACAGCTGAGCGACTAACACACACACATGGGTTGCATATTACACTATGATCAGCTGCCTAAAGAAGGACAAAGAGGCAGCAGGGGCAAATAAATATGAATCCTGGATTTACCACTGTGGAAATAGTAAGGGTATAAATGCTTGTTTAAGAAGAAAAATGATTACTCATTCTATGTCTAGAGATACTGATACCTGTGTTTGTTTTATTAGCTTGCCCAACAACAGGTGGAAAACGTCTTGGGAAAAATTACTGACAGTAAAAATAAACTGGCCTATGAAAAGGGAAAACTTCAGGTATGAGATTTCATTTTCTGATTTTTTTTTCTAATTTTCTAATGCCAGTGGTGAAGTTAAATATTGCTGGACTTTGAAGAGGACCTAGCTTGGTCATTTACCAATTCTGTAACTTTGGACAAGTTTTTAAACCTCCATAAGCTTGGTCCCTTATTCAAATCCAGCTGACCTCTATTTACACACTTATAAAATAATGCTGAAACCTAAAAGTGTGATCCCAAGGTTCATTCTGTGACAGAATGAAACTTTATTATAATTATTTTATGCATAGTCATTTGCTGCCAATGTAGAAAGCCTATGTTCTGTCTCTTTTTATTGAAGTTCTGTTGATTTCCAGTATTATGTTAGCTTTGAGTATACAGCAGTGATTCGGTATTTTTATAGATCATACTCTATTATAAAATATTTGCAATATTTCCTGTGCTGAACAACAGATTCTTATAGCTTATTTTATCCATGATAGTTTGTATCTCTTAATCCCTCACTGCTGTCTTGCCCCTCCTACCATCCCTCTCCCCACTGAAAACCACTAGTTTATTCTCTGTATTTATTGGTCTGTCTCTGTTTTGTTATTTTCATTCCTTTGATTCTTCAGATTCTTTAGGTTTTAGATATAAGTGCTAACATACAGTTATTTGTCTAACTTATTTCACTGAGTACAGTATCTTTCAGGTCCATCCATATTATTGCAATGGCAAGATCTTATTCTTTTTTATGACTGAGTAATACCCTGCTCTGTGTGTGTGTCTGTGTGTGTGTGTTCATGTCTGTATTCGTGTCTATGTGTGTTTGTGTCTGTCTGTGTCTGTGTATCTCTGTGTGTGTCTGTGTGTCTGTGTCTGTCTGTGTGTGTGTCTGTGTGTGTGTGTCTGTGTCTGTATGTGTGTCTGTGTGTTTCTGACTGTGTGTGTGTGTGTGTCTGTGTCTGTGTGTGTCTGAGTGTGTCTGTGTCTGAGTGTGTCTGTGTGTGTCTGTCTGTGTGTCTGTGTGTGTCTGTCTGTGTGTCTGTGTGTGTGTCTGACTGTGTCTGTCTGTGTCTGTGTGTGTGTCTGTGTGTGTGTGTGTCTGTCTGTCTGTATGTGTCTGTGTGTGTCTGACTGTGTGTTTGTATCTGTGTGTGTGTGTCTGTGTGTGTGTGTCTGTCTGTATGTGTCTGTGTGTGTGTATCTGTGTGTGTGTGTCTGTGTGTCTGAGTGTGTCTGTGTGTGTGTCTGTGTGTGTCTGTGTGTCTGTTTGTGTGTCTGTGTATGTGTCTGACCGTGTCTGTGTGTGTCTGTGTGTGTCTGTGTGCGTCTGTGTGTGTGTTTCTCTGTGTGTGTGTATGTGTGTGTCTGTCTGTCTGTATGTGTCTGTGTGTGTCTGACTGTGTGTGTCTGTCTGTCTGTATGTGTCTGTGTGTGTCTGACTGTGTGTGTGTATCTGTGTGTGTGTGTCTGTCTGTGTGTGTGCCATATCTTGATGCAATTGTCTGTTGATAGGCCTTTAGGTTGCTTCTGTATCTTGGCTATTGTAAATAGTTCTGCTCTGAACACTGTCTATGTCTTTTCGAATTAGTATTTTCATTTTCTTAACGTACATACCCTGGTGGAATTTCTAGATTGTGTGTTAGTTCTACTTTTAGTTTTTGAGGCACCACTATACCACAATTTACATTCCCACCAACATTGCCCTCAGGTTATCTTTTCTCTATATCCTTGTCAACGTTTGTTATTTGTGGTCTTTTGATGTCACATTCTGACAGGTGTGAGGTGATATCTCATTGTGGTTTCTATTTGCATTTCCCTGATGATAAGCAGTGTTGAGCACCTTTTCGTGCACCTGTTGGCCCTCGGTATGTCTTCACTGGGAAAATGTCTATTCAGGTTTTCTGATCATTTTAAAAATTTGATTGGGATTTTTTATATTGAATTGTATGAACTGCTTATATAGTTAGAGTATTAACCACTTATCAGTCATAACATTTGAAAGCATTTTCTCCTATCTAGTAGGTTGTCTTTTCATTTTGTCAATGGTTTTCTTTGCTGTGCTAAGGCTTTTAAGCTCAATTATGTCTCTCTTTGTTTATTTTTGCTTTTGTTTCCTTTTCCTTAAGAGGCAGATCCCAAGAAAGATTGCTGTAATATATGTCAAAGTGTGTTCTATATTTTCTTCTAGGAGTTTTATGGTTTCAAGTGTTATGTTCAAGTTTAATCCATTTCAAGTTAACTTTTATAAATGGTGTAAGTTAGTGGTCCAGTTTTCCAAGCGCAGTTCACTCAGTCATGTCCGGCTCTTTGCGACCCCATGGACTTTCTGGATAAATCTGTGCGCTGATGCAAGAGGGCTGTTAAAAGTCCCGTACTGTGATTGTCCTGTTGTCATTCTCTCCCTTTACGGCCTTTAATATTGGCTTTATATAGTTAGATGCTCCTATTTAGATGTACCTATTTAGGCATATGTATGTTGGTGAACATAAATCCAATTCTTCTGTGGATCCCTTTGTGCCGTTTGTCTTTTGTTACAGACTTCGTTTTAAAGTCTGCTTTATCTGCTCTGCTTACTGCTACTTCACCTTTTTTCCTCTTCCATTTACATGAACTGTCTTTTTCCATCCTCTCACTGTGTGTGTGTGTGTCTCTGAGGTGAGTCTCTTGCAGACAGCATATAAATGGGTCTTGATTTTTATCCAGTCAACTGCCCTGTATCTTTTGATTGGAGCATTTAATGCATTTCTTTGTAAAGTGATTATTGAAAAGTGTGTACTCATTGCCATTTTGTTGCAGTGCCCCTGGTCAGTAACGTCCAGTAACAAAAGACACCTCAATACATCCCTGGTCCATGACGCGTTGTGTGTGCTCCTCCCCACGCCCACAGCAGCAGCCTTCACGCTGGTATGGAGCTGCTTTGGGGCAGGAGGGAAGAGCAGGAGCCTGCAGGCTGGGGCGGTCCCCACATGTCGGAGTTGTAGTTTCGGCCCCCGCCCCCACTTTGACACACCCTGATTGCGGTTACCCTCCCCCTCTTCAGGCACAGGGCTGGGTTTGATCGGCTCCATCTCCCCCAGTTGCTCACTCTCCCTGACAGTGCCAGCCTTTGCCCCAGTGGGGAGCTGCTCCAGAGCAAGAGGGTCTGGAGCTGGCGTCTGGTGTGGGCTCGGCACCTGTTGGGACCCCAGGCTATTCCGTTGGTTTCCTCTGCCTTGTTCCTAGGAGTAAGCAAGCCTGCGTGTGCTTTTAGGAGTGGGGTCTGCTCCTTACAACTCTCTGGTATGGCCCACTGATTTTCAAACCAGCTAATGGGACTCATCTTTCCAGTGTTGGTCCCCAGAACTGGGATTCCTAATATGTGGCATGAGCCCCCAAATCCCCAGGGAGGATCTCTGATCCTGTGATAGCGCTTTTTTTTTCTTTGTCTCTACTAGGGGCACACATCCTGACCTGATCGTGTCTCCCTTCCTACCAAGCTGTGTTTGTCTTTCTTTATAGCCTTGATTGTAGACGTCTTTCTCCAGGTTCATTTGTTTTTAACGAGAGCTGCTCCACATATAGATGTATTTTGGATTTATTTGTAAGGGTAGATGAGCTCAGTGTTGTCCTACTCCACCATCTTGGTTTTTATCACATATATTTTCTTTTTTGCTGAATTTTTCTAACATTCCTAAAAAGAAATAATCCTGGAAATTAGGTCTCAAGGCAGTGCAATTGACTTGAATGCATAAAATGATTCTTTAATCCCCTGTTCTTTAATTCCACTGTTCTTTAATTTAATGTGGGTTTTGCCTCTGTAGTATCCACAGAGCAGGAAACTTGCCACTAATATGATTAAGTCTGCCTTAAACCAACTTTGGTAGAAACACTGCAGTCTGAATTAATGCTTCTTAGCTTCAGGTACACAATAGAGTCCTCTGGGGAATTTTAAAACCACCTCATACTGGGAAGTGTATGATGTCTGCCATTTACTTTCAAATGAATTATTTGAAAAAATTAGTTTTTTACATACATAGAAGAAGTGATAGATGGATATATGATAAGCGAGTATAAGAATGTGAATGTTTAAATTTGGGTGGCAGGTGTCTGTATGTTTAAACATTTTCAAAATAAAAGGGGAAAAATCCCCATGAAAAGGCTTGCAGTCCAGAGCAATTAAATCAGAATCTCAAAGAGTACGTTATATAGGCTTCAATACTTTTTAAAACTCCCCAGTGATTCCAATATGCAGCCATAGTTGAGCACTGGACTGAATGCTATGAAGCAATATCTGGTTAGGCTTGGCAGCTATAGAGCTGATAGAATAAGTAATCTCACTAGAGACTTGCCATGCACCTCAGTGTTAATCTTATCTATTCAAGGGACTTAGCCATTGGGTTAGCAGACATGATCCAGCTCAGAAACAGCAGGAGAGCTGTTTGACCACTATTTGCATGCTTTTAATTAATATTTTCTGGAGGCAATGATACATTTAAGTATAATCTATACTTGTGTAATCTTGCACAAGTCTTAATTTTCTTGAGCTTCATCTTACCTATGAAGTGAGCTGGGGAAACACACCTCTCTCAGTTACTTTCTCACTAGAAAAGACTGTAACAGGCTGGATATTTAGATTATTACAGGCACAAAAGAACTTTCTCCTTTGTGAAACTAATGTTCTCATAGAAGCTGTGGCCCAGAATATTGACCTTCTTTTAGCTTTCCCAGGAGAAATGAAGTATATTTTTATGTGTGTGAGAAAAATCACAAATACTCATAGGCAACTTGAAGCCAAACCTTTTCTGGGTGTGGATTACATTTTAAGGTTTGTTAGTGAGTCTGATGTTACTTATCTAACATTTTAAACCTCAGTTACATGTTTGAGATTATCCTTATAATCTTAAGGAAAATACGTGCATTTTTTCTGCCTATATTCCTATAATAAGGGCCAAAGTGTTTTGATAGTCTTTGAAAGCTGAAACACTTTTGAAGCTATTGATTCACTGGTGTTTTTATGTCAAGCTTTGTGTTGAAACACTACGAAGATACTGATCT